CAGGCCTTCATGGTCAAATAGCTGCTAGGAAACCACTGCTAAGGAGAGGCAACAAGCAGAAGAGATTTGTTTGGGCCAAGAAACACAAGGAATGGACATTAGACCAGTGGAAATCTGTGCTTTGGTCTGATGAGTCCAAATTTGAGATCTTTGGTTCCAACCGCTGTGTCTTTGTGAGACACAGAAAAGGTGAACGGATGGATTCCACATGCCTGGTTCCCACTGTGAAGCATGGAGGAGGAGGTGTGATGGTATGGGGGTGTTTTGCTGGTGACACTGTTGGGGATTTATTCAAAATTGAAGGCACACTAAACCAGCATGGCTACCACAGCATCCTGCAGCGACATGCCATCCCATCCAGTTTGCGTTTAGTTGGACGATCATTTATTTTTCAACAGGACAATGACCCCAAACACACCTCCAGGCTGTGTAAGGGCTATTTGACCAAGAAGGAGAGTGATGGAGTGCTGCGGCAGATGACCTGGCCTCCACAGTCACCGGACCTGAACCCAATTGAGATGGTTTGGGGTGAGCTGGACCGCAGAGTGAAGGCAAAGGGGCCAACAAGTGCTAAACACCTCTGGGAACTCCTTCAAGACTGTTGGAAAACCATTTCAGGTGACTACCTCTTGAAACTCATGGAGAGAATGCCAACAGTGTGCAAAGCAGTAATCAGAGCAAAGGGTGGCTATTTTGAAGAAACTAGAATATAAAACATGTTTTCAGTTATTTCACCTTTTTTTGTTAAGTACATAACTCCACATGTGTTCATTCATTATTTTGATGCCTTCAGTGAGAATCTACAATGTAAATAGTCATGAAAATAAAGAAAACGCATTGAATGAGAAGGTGTGTCCAAACTTTTGGCCTGTACTGTATGTGATTTATTGTGACCCATCAGTGTTCTTCCAGCAGCTTTTCAGGTTTCAAACATGGGTGATTTTAGCGGCCCATCTGTTTAGTTTTCCTGGCCTTTTCAGGCTCTAATCGTGTGTGTTTTGTAGTGACCCATCTGTGTTTTTCCGGCAGCTTTTTAGGCTCCAAACATGGATGTTTTGTAGCAACCCGTCTGTTTTTTTCCATCGGCTTTTGAGGCTCCAAATGTAGGTGTTTTGCAGCCACCTGTCAGTGTCTGTCCAGCAGATTTTAGGTTCCAATCATGGTTGTTTTGTAGCGACCCATCATTGTTTTTTCAGCTGCTTTTAAGGCCCCACACATAGGTGATTTTTTAGCAATCTATATGTGTTTTTCCAGCAGCTTTTTAGACTACAACATGGATGTTCTGTAGTGACCCGCCAGCATCTTTCCAGTGGCCATTTAAGCTCTAAGAGTGTAACATAGCCATGATTTGCAGAAACATACGATGCAAACATTTTGTCAGGCCATTAGGTTGTTTTCTGTGGCAAGGTTTCTTTTGTTTGGATTCAAGATTGTGGAGTTTAACCTTCCATTAATATTATTAGAGATGGCAGCTTGTAGAGTCAGACTGAATATTATTTTTTTTATTTCGTTTTTTGCTACTTTTTCTCAGGGGTGACTGTGTGCTGATCCTCCTTTGAGCAGAAGTTGTTTTCCAGATTTTCAGCATGCTCTAACGATGGAGTTTTAGTAATGGCACTCAGCCTTTCTCACATCGGAAAAAGCACTATCAACTTCCTGCACTGCTTCCAACACTGTCTCACACATAATTACTCATTTTTCTAAGGAGGTCTACCTGAGGCAACTATAAACCTCAAAATCAGCAAAACTTGTGCTGCAGCTTCACTATATCCTACGGCTCCCTATTTTAACTGCATCACCCCAAAGGAGTCTGTATGCTTCCTTAATGTCTCATAACACTGGTATTCGTTTCTACTTAGAGGACCTCGACAAAACCTCCAGATGACTTTATCTTAATTAAATTTCTGACTAAAATTATGCAATATTTGATCATTATGATGTTTTAGCTCATCAAAACATCATCTTAAAGTAATAGTACAACATTTTGGGAGCAGGCTTGCTGTTTCCCCCCTGTTATGCAGGTTCTGGCTCTAGCTTCATACAGATAAAGTATTTCTGACACACACGGGTTTCTCTTATTTAGCCTTCCTTCAATGATACAAATGGGGTGGACAAAATAATAGCAACAGCTGTCAGTACAACGCGTTATAGCACAACAAACTGCATCCTCTAAAATGAACATACTTGAATTTATATCTCTAAACACAATAGCCTTCATGAAGGTAGGATTCATTGCAGGACTGCTGTATTAGACTGCACTAAGGCCTATGTATGCTTCATTTATGTCTGTTTCAAATGTTGTAAACATCACCACCCTTCCATGCCTCCTTTATGATAACATAGATACAGCCCATAGGTGACACTGGAGGGCAGAGGCCAAAGGCGATGGTGAAGGAGGTCGTAATGTTGTAAATTTAAACGGTGTACATGGCAGTGGTCTGTGAGGCCATTAAATATATCCAGACATGTGGATGGAGAATTCTTTTCACTATAATACTGATTCTTTCTGTTCTGCCATTATTTAAATTTCTTCTTTGTCTCCCATGGTTGTTTCTTGCTTAAACTACACTACATTCCCTCCATGATCTCTGGTGGTACTGCTCCATCTTGTCACTTACCTTATCACTGTCTTGTTTTATGAAAGACTTGTGAGCCTAACCTTTAAGTACCATTGGTTTTTGAAAGACTGGTTTAGCAACGTGGTCTCGCCCCTGCTCATCATATTTTTACACTTGGGTAGAAGCCTCTGGTGTCACTACAATATGGCAGGGGCAGCCTTTTGCGCTAAATCTTTATGCAGTCAGTCAGCAGATCTTGATGCAGAAGGGGTCAGCAGTAAGTTACATGAGTTGACTCACGTGACTAAGAGGGGGTCACCAGTTAGGTTTAGGTAACAAAACCATTTGGTTAGGGTTAGGAGAAGATCATGGGTGACTAACGACTGTCATGAAAAAATATCTTAACGTTGACTTTTAGTTTAACACAGGACGCTAGTCTCCTGGGTCAATGTCATGTGACTTTTGTGCTCTTTATAATTTATTTGTTGCTCTAAACATCTAACAGTGGGATGGATGGGTTTACACCAGAACTGGTTGAAAGCCCCTGTGTCTCCAGATGCTTAAGGGTGCCCCCAGTATCATTATAAGAGCATTAGGGGTCCTGCCCAGGCAAGTGAGTAAGACCAGACTGGGTTTAGAGTAGTTTCCTTGGACTCAGCATCTAGTGGCCATTAGAGGAACTGCAGCCCAGGACACAATAATGACTTTTTACATAGAACCCTTTAACATTTTTGTGTCTTTGACATTGTTGTTGCCATTTATATTAATTTTCTTGTAGAAACATTTAATCATGACACAATCAGGGAAAAATTCTCACATGACACTGCTGTGATCGAAGTACAAGATTAGAAAACTGTGTCCTAAATATTTATCACACTGACCAATAAAGCTATAAATCAGGACTGTTCTCTTTTATTTATTAGGGTGGTGGTTAACTTTTATTTTAACGTGGGACACAAACCCCAGTCTTCTTGGTCAATGTCCTGTGCTTATTGGACCCATCTGCCTCCCCTTCTGTCCTCCCTTAGCAGACTTTTGCTCTGTTTATATTACGTCCATTGTTCTAATTGTCTAATAATGACACGGATGGGTTTATATTGGAATTGGTTAAAAGCCCCTGCATCTCTTACAGATGCTTAAGGGTCAACATGTTCTCATTGAACGCATCCCATATCAATGTTTGGTCATAGACTTTTCACGTCAAGATACAATGTGCAAGGTACCCTGGGTGTGGGTTGTTGACGTTCTGGGACGCCGTGTCAACTTCAGCCTGTTACATGCATTGTCTGTTGTCAAAATACACTTCTGTTTTCACAGGAAATGTATGCATACAGTCTACAGGGTTTGGCTTTCCAGTTTTATGGGTAGCAAACACTGACCTCCTAGGTAAAAGTCGGTGGTTGTTGGACCCATCCACCACCTCTCCTGCATACCTTACTCGGACCTCTGTTGCCTTAACTTTAATTGATTTCCTGCCACGTTTCCCCCAGACGCCACTGAGCACTGTTTTAGTTTACAGGCCACTGGCCAAATATGCAGATGTGTAAGGACAGCTTTTTTTGCGGTTTCTGACGCCGGAGGTTACTGTCCAAGTGCTGGATTTCCATGATTTAGAGGTGAGGCTGGGTGGTAAGGGTGCCCTCGATGTTATTATAGTGATGTTGGGGGCACAGCCCAAGTGGTGTATATTGATGCCCTGGGATTGAGACCAGGCTGGGTTTAGAGTACTTTCCTTGGACTCAGCATCTAGTGGTCATTAGAGGAACTGCAACCCAGAACACAATAATGACTTTTTACACAGGACCCTTTAACATTGTTGTGTCTTTTACATTTTTCTTGCTATTTAGTTTCATTTCCCTGTAGCAACATTTGATTATGACACTGTTTCTCACATGAAGCTGCTGCGGTCCAAGTACAAGATTAGAAAACTGTGTCCTACCTATATATCACCCTGTGCATTAAAGCAATAAATCAGGGCTGTTCCCTTTTTATTTATCAGGGTGGTGGATCTATACATGCACTTTGGACCTAATGACACAAACAGACACCCTGCTATTAAAGTGAAAAAAATATAAATTAGGATAAATAACCCGGTGGAAAGCCATTTTAATCTTGCAAAATAAAGTTCACAGACAACATTGTAGCTTTCATTGTGATCCTATTATGTTTTGCAATTAATACATTTAAATGGAACCTTTACTATGCAGAATGATTTAAGCAGAAGGAGGACAGGGGCACATATTGGAGTTAAAAACTAATCTCCGATGCAAAAAAGAGCTGACTAAAATAATGTGAAAAAAATCTCTCGTCAGCCATCAGTCCTCGCAGACATTCTGTGTATTTGCGCATCAGCAGCTCTGGAAGTTTTGGTGTTAAATGAGCTGCAGGGACTTTTCCGCCGCTTGGTGCTGAGCGGACTGACTGACGCCCCTCCTGCCTGCCTGCCTGCCTGCCTGCCCCGGTCTGGTAAAAAGGCGCATGTGTGTTATTGCTGTGATGTTGAGTTGAGCCGCATCCAGACGCACTGGCCGCCGCTGGCTGATGCTCCCCCCCACCCCCCTCATCTTGGTGGTGTTGTGCGCAAAATCTCCAGCGCCGGACGGACGGACGCAGTTTGACGGTACAAACGAGCGGCACTGCGGGGGGACATCCAAGAAAAAAGCCATCCAAAGCAGACATGGATATTTAACGGGCATTTGATATCTTTTTTTATGTCTTTGTTTTTTGTTTTACCCTGTGATGTTGCTCTTGCCCCGGGGGTGTTAATTAAACCTGCTCGATGTCTCTCATCAGTTTATAACCGAAACAAAATGAGGATTTCTTCTCGCGACTGGTTTCTGTTGATATTCTCTGGCTTTTGGGGACTGACAATGGGTGCTTTCCCGAGCAGCGTTCAGATCGGTGAGTGTGTTTAAGCCTTCAATGTTAATTCCAAGCAGAAAATTAATCATGTGAATGAATGTGTGGACGTCCTGTGTGCTGCCTCTGCCCTGCCATTTAACACCTCAGCACCACTCAAAGTGGGAATTGTTGGTTTCCCTCCGCAGTCTTTGATTTCTCTTCTCTTGAAATACCACATGCAGACAGGGTTCTTTCCTCTGTTGATGCTGTGCATGTTTAACACACACACCTAATGCGCTTTGTATCTGCAGGCTAGAGTGTGTATCCCAGTGCACTCCGCCACTGCAGCAGATCAGAGCAGCAAAGTGTGTGTGTGTATTCCCTATGCAGGCTGCCTGTGCATTGACTGCTGTTAACACTCTCGCAGACCCCCGGTCCTGGCGCTGCAATAAACCTCTGCCACGGTCCCATAGGCCTTTACAGCTCCACTGTTTCCTCTTTTCCCAGTTGCCCTCTTTTATTTTTAAACATCTGCACGTTCCCATTTAACAACTTAACAGGAAATAAAGAGGTTGGCTTCATGGTGTTGATTTGACTAGCAGGCACATTGACTTGGTTGATTTAAAGGCAAGGGATGAAAAGAAGGGCAAACTGTGACCTCCAGTTAATAAACACAGCCCTCCCAAAAAATCAATTAATCAGAGAAGCAGTCATTTATGTTTTTTCCTGTAAAAAAATCGCAATTGATTTTTTGTCTTTATCCTGATGGTGTTAAAACCTTCTTTTTGGAATTACACATTCGCCCAAACTGACTTTTGTGGCTTTTACCCTCCACTGCACCCCTGCATGTAGCGGAGTCGAGGCACATCAGGACCAGTGAGGCTGATGAAAAATGACAAGCTGTTCAAATGATTCTCCTTGTCCTTTTATATCAACGTGATACTCGAATCCCCCGGCCCCTCCGGGGGAGGTCAGAGGTCAGGGTCTGTTACAGAACAGCACCCCTGGAAGTGAGAACACTTGAGCTGGGTGGGGGGTTTAAATCTGCATCTGTGGAACTGCTGTGCCAACATGCTGAATATTCAAGTTAATATTCGCTGCTGACTTAAGCAAAACTACCACTGTGGGTGGATTTTTGCTCATATTCTGCAATTTTAGATGAAGTTCTCTGCTATTTTTGAAATTAAAACCATTTTGTTTGTTTAACAGCATTGCTACGAATGACAGCAAACATTGTTGATGTAATACCAGTGTCGCCTCTCAGCCCTGTAATTGACCTCTGGGAGTGTATAAATCCGCTATGTGCCAGTGTTTCCTCAGCAACCAGACTTCATTTAACACTTGATGTAGTTTTTTGAGCAGCCACCACACAGCTCCATCAGTTCTTAGAGAGGGCAAACACCTCCCCAATCAACACTCGTCTGCTCCAAATAATTCTCAGTGTAGAATCAACACTTATTAGCAGTGGGAAATGTGCTGTGTGTACACATGCCTGCAACACAGAAACAAGTGCTCAAATACAGCCATGGCAAACAAGCTCCATCTGCGAATTCTGACACCAGTGATACATGTGAAGGCAGATCCCGAGGATTATAGATCCCACTTTTCATTCACTCCTTTTTATTTTTTTTTATCATTTGCTGTCTTTTTTTAAGTGTCATGTTGGGGCTGCAGCCTGTCCCAGCATGCACTTCATGGAGGGCTGGGAGGACATCCTCGACAGAACATCAATCTGTCACATCCAGAAAAAAATACTCTCAGACTAATCATAAAAATGACCAAAAAAACTTTTCAAAAAGTTTGAAAAGCACAGTGATTTAAATTCACCTTCAAAGTGAAACAGGATTTGGAGAATTGGTTTTTAAAGCAACACTAAAGGGGTCCTTCAGAGTTCTGTAAGGATTTACAGGTTCTCTGTTAAGGATCCCGAAGCTCTCATCACATCTGAAGAAGATGCTAACATCATCTGAGTTGCCTGGCTGTGTGTTTGGATGTAAACTCTATTAAAGGCTCAGTTCACCCTCAAAAATATATTTTTATTTCTTAGGTGTAGTGCTGTTTATCAGTATAGATAGTTTTGGAGTGAGTTGCAGAATGTTGGAGATGCCAGCCACAGAGATGTCTGCCTTCTCTCCAGTATAATGGAACTAGATGGCACTCTGCTTGTGGTGTTCAAAAAAAAAAAGATTTAAAAATTCAACTTTAATGTCTCTTTCCAGAAATCGTGACTTTTACTCAAGATAATCCACAGACCTTCTTGTGAGCAGTTTCATGAAGGAACTATTTTCTTTCTACCAAACTACACCTGACAACCGTATCAATATGCAGAAGGAAGCGTGCATCTACTGCTAGCTTACCTAGCACCACTGAGCTAGCTAACGTTACAGCTAAGCCAAGGACAATGCCATTAATGTTTACACCTTGTCCTGTCATGGGCAGGAAACATGTGTCCATGGGTGCATTTCATCACGCTGACATGCCACCTCGCTTCCCTCACTTGCTTCTTTTCCTCATATCTTGGTCCCACCAGTTGGAGATGTGAGCGAAGGAGCTGAAGCTGCCAAATGAGAAATCCTTGGCTCTGTAGCATCAGTCTTAAGCAAAACGTTTCCTCCCTCTAATCTCCTCCAGAAGCCTCCTTTCTCCTCTCTCCTTCTCTACTCAGGGTGCATTTAAGGGATTGGAAGATCCTTTATGATAGCGGAGGGGGAACGGTTTCCAGGTCACGGGAGGAAAGAGGAGGCAAGGAAGCTTAATTTAGCATAATGAAAAGCACCTCATGCGTGGATGGACACTTCCGTCTGCATGGCGATACAGTTGGTGGGTGTAGTTCAATAGAAAGAAAATAATTCCTAAATTAAACTGCTCACAACAAGGTCTGTGGATGATCTTGAGTAACAAGGGGCATGATTTTGGAAGGAGATTTTGCTGTTGAGTTTTTCAAGCGTATTGTTGGAGCTTTGAGCACCACAAGCTGAGTGCCATCTAGTTCCATTATATTAGAGAGAAGGCAGACATCTCTACAGCTGATATCTCCAACACTCAGCAGCTCACACCAAAACAATCTAGAGTGATAAATAGCGCTACAAGTAGGAGAACAAAATATGTACTTTTGATTTTGGGTGTCCCTTAAAAACCGTGCCATTTCTAAAGGTTTATTTACTGAGGTGAAACTGATGTTGCCAGAATCTTAAACCTACTGAGACCAGTTTGATCACAGCACATGGGGACCCCTTAATCTAATCAGGAAGAACACACGTTTAGGTGTGAATGTGGCAGAATGCAGTGCAAGCAGAATTAACCAGACCACGTCTGGAGGTGATCTGGCTCACATTGAGAGTGGATCTCAGCCAGGTGTAAATGCAGTTTGCACAGTGTGCCCCAATCTTTAAAGAACAATCTGCCCAACAGTTTGAAAAGTTCCCCTGACTCCACCGCTTCCTGCTATCTCAAGAGGTTTAAAAGTTAGAGATAACCCCTTCCTCAGTAAGGGAAAAATAAACACAATTTAATAAAACCCCTTTTCCACCAAAATTAGCACATGTATGCAGCTTTTATAAACGTGGGAAAACCAGTTGAAAATAGGTGATGGACTGCTTTCCCATTGCCTCTCTGGTGTGTCACATTCGACATCACAGATGGGCCAGAAAACAGATTTGTAAACAGTAGAAAGCAGCATGGAGGTTGTTGGACCAAATAGATTAAACCTTGATAGTGGAATGAGTCACTGACGCTTAAAAAAATGTATTCACCGATATACAGTACAGGCCAAAAGTTTGGACACACCTTCTCATTCAATGCGTTTTCTTTATTTTCATGACTATTTACATTGTAGATTCTCACTGAAGGCATCAAAACTATGAATGAACACATGTGGAGTTATGTACTTAACAAAAAAAGGTGAAATAACTGAAAACATGTTTTATATTCTAGTTTCTTCAAAATAGCCACCCTTTGCTCTGATTACTGCTTTGCACACTCTTGGCATTCTCTCCATGAGCTTCAAGAGGTAGTCACCTGAAATGGTTTCCACTTCACAGGTGTGCCTTATCAGGGTTAATTAGTGGAATTTCTTGCTTTATCAATGGGGTTGGGACCATCAGTTGTGTTGTGCAGAAGTCAGGTTAATACACAGCTGACAGCCCTATTGGACAACTGTTAAAATTCATATTATGGCAAGAACCAATCAGCTAACTAAAGAAAAACGAGTGGCCATCATTACTTTAAGAAATGAAGGTCAGTCATTCCGGAAAATTGCAAAAACTTTAAATGTGTCCCCAAGTGGAGTCGCAAAAACCATCAAGCGCTACAACGAAACTGGCACACATGAGGACCGACCCAGGAAAGGAAGACCAAGAGTCACCTCTGCTTCTGAGGATAAGTTCATCCGAGTCACCTCCGAGATCTTTGGTTCCAACCGCCGTGTCTTTGTGAGACGCAGAAAAGGTGAACGGATGGATTCCACATGCCTGGTTCCCACTGTGAAGCATGGAGGAGGAGGTGTGATGGTGTGGGGGTGTTTTGCTGGTGACACTGTTGGGGATTTATTCAAAATTGAAGGCACACTAAACCAGCATGGCTACCACAGCATCCTGCAGCGACATGCCATCCCATCCGGTTTGCGTTTAGTTGGACGATCATTTATTTTTCAACAGGACAATGACCCCAAACACACCTCCAGGCTGTGTAAGGGCTATTTGACCAAGAAGGAGAGTGATGGAGTGCTGCGGCAGATGACCTGGCCTCCACAGTCACCGGACCTGAACCCAATCGAGATGGTTTGGGGTGAGCTGGACCGCAGAGTGAAGGCAAAGGGGCCAACAAGTGCTAAACACCTCTGGGAACTCCTTCAAGACTGTTGGAAAACCATTTCAGGTGACTACCTCTTGAAGCTCATGGAGAGAATGCCAAGAGTGTGCAAAGCAGTAATCAGAGCAAAGGGTGGCTATTTTGAAGAAACTAGAATATAAAACATGTTTTCAGTTATTTCACCTTTTTTTGTTAAGTACATAACTCCACATGTGTTCATTCATAGTTTTGATGCCTTCAGTGAGAATCTA